GAGCCACATGGCCTAGATTTGAAATCCCAACTCCACTGCTATTGCTACCACAATCACTTACCAGCCAGATGACCCTGGATGAATGAGATTATCACTCTGTGGCTTAGATTCATTTATAAAATGAGGTTGGCAGTAAAGGTATCAGCCATAGTATCAGTATGCAGTTGTGAAGAGTAAATATTATTTTTAATCAAATATGTGGGATAAAAAAATACTAACATGTGTACTCTGCACCTGGGGTCCATGATGCTCAGAGCACCACTTGAGATGTGGGAGTTGGATACACCCCTGACTTGGGGTTGATTTCTAGTTTGGGTGTGGTCTGTGCCTTGTGCTTGATTTGTCACACTGTTGGAGGACAGTATATTAAAAGTCACTCTAGGGCCGGGGGTTTAGCTCAGTGGTTCTAGCGCCTGCTTTTGCAAGCACAGGGACTGGAGTTCGATCCCATGTACCAAAAAAAAAGGAAAGTCACTCTTGAACATTCTCTAAAAGGCACCAACATGGACAAACATGTCTCAGCCCTGCATGGCCAGTTTTTCTAGTTGCAGTCTATCTCTAAGCACCAGATGCAGGAGCTGGTTTGCATTCAAGGGCAGTGGCATCAAGAGCCACTGGAATCATGCTCCGTGATGACATGCTCACACAGGGAGCTGCACAGAAGCAGCTATCAGTTACAGTCTCAGATGTCAATCTACCACCTCACTCAGGGTCACATAGCCATCCACAATGGACCCTCCACTATAACATTATTTAAAATTTTCCTTCTTTCTCTTTTTGACAAAGTACTGTATGTAAAACTGAATCTGCAAGATCTGGTTAAATGTATTCATGACACAACTCCACTGTGACTCACCTCTCAAAAGCTATTTCCTCTTCTGTAAAATGGGGCAACATTACTACATCATCAGCTTATTGTAAATAAGACAATGTGCACGAGGATTTTAAATTGCTACCAGGTAAATGACACTCTATCCTTCTGCCCCAAATTTTCCCCAACTAGTTGGGGATTCTGAGGAAGTCACTGCAGCCTCAGGGTTTCAGTGTTCTCAACAACAAAACATGGGCTGTGTTAGGCGATTTCTAAGTCCCCTTCAAGCTTGAAGCTTTCAGGATAGTTAGTTCTGTGATCCTTAGGCATTTACATGTATGGAATCCTTTGAATGCTAACTTCTGCTTATGTGATTATCTCCAGGGCCGCTTTATCCAACTGGTAAGCGTCACATCTTATTATAAAGAACAGTGTTTTGTACAAGATTACATGTTGATGACTCAGAACTTAAACATGCAACTTCCAGCCTAAAGCTCTTGTTTACTGTTTCACCTGATCGAGAGATATGTTCTCTAGCCATATCTGAAGCAGCCAAGGTGACAGATTTAACTGTGCCATCCACTATAGTCCTTCAATGACCAGACATGTCTGTGACAGGAGAGAAGCACAGCCCTCCCTCCTAGGGGGGCTGTCTCTCTCTCTCTCTCTCTCTCTCTCTCTTTCTCTCGCTCGCTCGCAGTGGAGGTAAAGGAAGAGAGCTTTGGAGTAAGGCCTGGATTGAATGATTCTGGCTTTGATACCACCTATGAACATTTCAGAAAGTTAACCTTTCTGACCCTCCCTGACTCGAAGGTTCAGGGAAGGTCACCCTACCATCATCTGTTTTCTCATCTGTAAAACTGCACTGCATTGATGTTTCTGGCAGTATTGCATAAGTTAACTTAGTAGCAGCTAAAGGACTTGGGTAGACTGTGGGATTGAGGAGAAGCTCCCTCCTTTTGAGACATACTACATCCCAATTCTATCTCCCCCACTGTGACTGGCCTGCCAGTTACCTGAACTCTCTGAGCCTGCTTTCCATATCAATTAATTCAGGACACCACTGCTCTCAGAAAATGGCTCTGTGCATGGCAGCCTGATCCTCCTCCCATCCCAGCCACAGTAATCATGCTAATCCAGCTCTTACACCAGGCTCAAAGTAGTGGTATCAACAGAAGTATCTTCTCCCATTGGCTCAGAAACTTTGAAGATTCAATTTAAATAGGCCATCTCACCAGAAGGCTTTCCTTAACTTGTACCCCTGTCCCCAAGTTCAGCATGATTTAACCCTCACCCTCATAATCTTGCCATGCCAAGGAATGCAGAATTTCAGAGTAGCCTCCTAAACCAGTTTCCCTGGGCTAGCATTTGCTCCTTCCTCTGGGCAAGTCAGCGCCCCCTAAAGACAGGAACTGTGGTTTCTTCACCTCTGGGTTTGGCACAGGAAGGTTGGCATAGAGTATCTCCTCAGCCAAAAAAAAAAAAAAAAAAAAAAAAAAAAAAAAAAAAAAAAAAAAAAAAAAAAAAAAAAAAAGCTCCACTATTTGGAAACTGCTCTCTGGGAAGGCAGTGCAGAGAGAAGACAGGAAACACAGGTTTTAGCAAAATGAGAAGTTCACTTGGGATGAGCGGATTCTGTAAAAGAACATGATGCTTGGACTCAAATCTCAGCCCCATCACTGGCCAACTAAAAAAAAAAAAATCTAGACAATGGGTCAGGGATTTAGCTCAGTGAAGCCATGGCTGCCCTGCAAGCACAAAGTCCCAAGTTCAAACCTCTGTACCAGGAAAAAAAAAAGTAAAAATCTAGTCAGATCTGAGCTGTTCCTATGCAAACATCACCAGCAAGTTTTGTGCTCCAGGTACTAAATATTTACAGGTACATTTAACACCTCAACTCTAGGAGGCAGGTATTATCCTCATTTTATAATGGCATTAAATGAGGCTCAGAGAGATTAAATAACTTCCTCAAGTTCACAAACTACTGAGATGTTCAATGAATGGTACCAAGCACTGTTCTGAGGCAGGAATGCATTGGAACACAATTTCAAACACCCCAAGAGCTCTGGGGCCCTGGCCATGGGGTTTGTGCATCTGGACCAGCTCCAACCTTACCAGCTCAGCTGCACCAATGACAAAGGACAATCAGTGTTGTAAATAGAGTTAACATAATATATTTATTTTAAGTGCCATTCATGCATATCAGTTCTGGCAGCAACAATCCTAATGACACTTGGAGTATTTCTTTACAGCACTAAACAGTTACAAAGAATGGGTGCCGTTCATCATAGAGGCAGAATATGAAATAATCGTGCAATAGCAAAACTGTAGAAACATTAAAACACTGACTGTCCAACATCAGTACAGAAAGCAGGTTGTGTTTGCACAAAAAGCCAATGCATTTTCATCACATATATACAATATAGATATGTACACATCACCCTCTGAATGAACAATATCAAAATACTCTATTCCATTTGAAATTATCCCCAGATTGATTCCCTCCCACTTCAAAGGACATCTGAAAGACACATATTTACAAAGAACACACATGAATACATTTACATTTCAAAACTGCCACAAATGCCAGTCGGATTATTCTCCTGGACAGAGTGTCCCTGTGTGATTACAGGCATTTATTATTGTCCCCACCCCCCCAAAAGTCTTTAAATCCAAGACAGAACATACTCTGCATTAGCAATTACCAACAGAAATGGCCAATAGAGGGTCTCTGCACCCCACCAGGTAACCCTGTCTGGCCGTGGTCCATACCAAAGGCCTGTCTGGGCTCCAGGGCCGCCTGGATCACAGGAGTCGGGTGGGTGTGGGTGGAGAATTTGCTTCTGGGACCATCCTTGTTAAGTTTAAATACTCATAAAAACAGTGACCATTGAAAATCAATAAATGATTGCCGAATGGGAAATCAGAATCACATAATTTATAAAATCATGGTCAGTGGTTCTACCTAAACCATTCAGTTAAGAGGCTGCATTCTAATACCCAAATTGTTTAAAGTGCACATCACTATCCAAGCAATTCAGACAGTTTCAAAACAGCTATTTTGGTGTCTAGAAAACAGTGACTCAAGTAGACTACTGAAAATCATCCCCTTTTTTCAAGTTTTTACTCTGCAGGCTGCGAACTCCTCCTGCCTTGATCCTTCTAAGAGGGGCCTGTTGGCTACCTTTCCAGAATCCTCTGATTTTCACTGATCCAAGGGCCTGGAACTGAACCTCCTTTTTCATGCCAAGCAGGACCCAAACAACAGAGAAACACAAAGCTCTTCCTTTTTGTCCCACCTCCTAAGCCCTTAGCATGGCTGGCGTCCAAGTAATTCATCGAAGGCAACACTTCATGAAAGAAAAAAATACACATGTTCACAAACAGACACTCTCCTCTCTCTCCCATTCTCAAACATACACACACAAGGAAACAAAAAATGTTTATTTCAAGTAGAGATTATTCAACCAAAGAATCACCAAGGCTAATTAAAGTGATTTAGCATGTCTAAAAGGAATCAGAAATGCTAAAAAAGCAACCAGTAAGCAATTATTCCTCAATTTAATGGGACCCTTTCCACATTAAAATTGAAAAGGTTTTGTTGTTGTTGTTCTAATCAACTCAAAACCTCTTCATCAGGGAAAACAAATCTTTTCTTCTAGCTCCATTATAAAACTCAGACAATCAATACATGCAAAAGAACTGTGTGATAAGACACGAAACAAAACAATTAAAAACCCCTACAAGAGCTTCCCTTCAAAGAAAGCAATCAAATTTCAGGTGCACACAGACAGGACACAGCAACAACAGACCACTTAATAACTACATTAAAGATTGAAGCAATTAAATTCTATTTGTAGCTATACCTCTTTTCAGTGCTTCCTAAACAGAATGAAAACACGTAGGGAAACTTGCTTTACAAACCTTGCCTTGCTGTTCTTTTGCCCAAATGGACTCCTATTCAAATTCCAGAAAAGTCCAATTTAGCTTTTAAGTCTCACGGAGCAGGAATGCTAAGATAAAGAAATGTACTTACCTGGTAAAAAGAGTGATAATAAAGAGAATGACAAAATGTCCCTCTGATTGTCTTGTCTGCAAACTCTTAGCAAGAAAAATAATTCTGTGCTTTCAGACACATTTTTCCTTAGCAAACCCAATAAAAGCTGAGCATTCACAAAAAGTGGCAATAAATATTAAAATAACACTTTAAAGTAATAAATACATAAGCAAATGCAGAGGCATTGATTTGTTTAAAGACCCAAGTAATGCCTATCTTCTAAGCAAACAAATTTCAGAGCTGTTATAATGTAGACTTAGGAAACAGACATCAACAAGGTACAACATATACTGTATGGGCCCCCACATCAAAACAATTTTGGTCAGTTCTTTATGCTGCTCAGGAAAAACATACCCCTCTGGATTATTTGCAGAGCATCAACCTCTTGGTTTGATTTACTGAATACAATCTGTTACTACCCACAGTTCCGGAAAAGATTAAACAAGGGAAACTGGGCTTTGGAGAAATATATTTCCTTTCAGTTCTTACCTTAGTTAAAAGCATCCTGCAGAAAATAGCCTAAAAAGAATAAAAACTGACAATAACTTTCAATATATCATAATCCAATTAGAAAAACTGAAGCCTTTTGGTAATTTTTGTACATATATTTACACATATGTATCTATAAACTGCTTGCAGCAAAATAGGCTCTGTCTGAAAAATCAGTCTGGCACTTGTGGTTAACATCAAACTAACACAAATATGCAAAAAGCTGTCCAAATCACACAACAGTTAGGAGCTACATAGGGCAGTTGGCAGGGAGACAAACATGTAGTACTTGTCTGGGTCAGATAAAAGCAGTTCAGTTATCCAGCTAAAATCTTTTTTGATTGTCTTCAAAAGAATTTTTGATAACATTGGTAAAGTGATCAGGAACCTTGTTTACTCAAATGGATTCTCCTAAACCTCTCTCTTCACTGCAGAGAAGGTGACGCTGGGGTCCAAGGCTTTACAGAAACACACTCTACACAATTGAATCCCAATCAAAGTCATCTTGGATGTCATCTGGGGGCAGGGAGCGCCGCATCTGGAAGGCTTGGGAAGGCATCATGTGCTGCTGGTTCATGGTTCCGTGATGGCCTAGAAGGGAAAAGGCAAGGTCAGCAGAGGCTTGGGTAGAGAAGAAAAGAAGAAACAAGTGAACCCTCAGTAAGCATCTCCTATGTGCCAGTTACACAGTACATATTACATCACTAATCCACCTATAAGCTTTTAACAAAGCAACTCTTACAATCTTTATTTCTAAGTAAGGGGTATATGATTTAAGAAAACGAGTGTGTTACCCCAAGTCACATAATAAGACAAGATGTGACATGAGTTCACTTGACTCCAAAACCCAGGCTCTTTCTGTTATACTAGGATGTAGCAAGGAAGCATGAGAAAGTGCTGACGCAGCCATTTCTCTTACAGTTTGTTCTGTTCTAACATGTTTCAGAGTACATAAGAATAATGTCAACGTGCCGCTGAAGTCAGATGAGGTCAGATTGAATTTTACCAACAACTTAATTTTTGGGCCACCAAGTAAATGAGCAAGTGAACACAGACAGTATCAACACACTGGACCTTGTATACCATGGAGGGACAGCCCACAACAGCTACTCACTCCAGTTCTTCTTGGCTTACTCTGGTCTGTTTGCTTTCCCAGGTTCAGTGCATGCTGCCGTTGTAGCTGCATCTTGACAGGCCCTCTTTTTTAAACCAATGTCATTATTTTTAAAGTAGAAGTTGATACTTACAGAATTCATTTTTTTAAATTAAAAGTTACGCATATCTTTTTAACTGCTGTGGAGTTTTTACTGGATTATTATCATTTGTTAGTAATCTAATTACAAAATTTCAAGCAGTCTCAATCTTACTTTTCTCATAAGTCCTACATTTTTAATGTACAATTTTATAAAACACTAAGGCTTTCAGCATATTACAGTATCAGCAGAGATGTTTATGTTTTTAATTTATTTAACAAAAACCTGTAAGTTCCTATGTTGTCAGGCACTAATTTACATGATTCCCACATAACCATCATTTAATCCACCTAACAACCCTGGAAGTTAGTGGTGTTCTTGGCCTTCCTTTTACAGACAAAGAAGTGGAGGTAGAAGGGTTAGGAAATCTGCCCAACTTCTCAGAACTCTTAAGTAGTGAACACCAGGGTTCAAACCCTGGCAATCTGGCTCCAGAGCCTGAACTACCACATCATCCCACCCACAAATTACTAGAATAGTGAGTGCTTACAACAGGTAACATTCCTTCATCAAAGGACATGTTGCTTGGTTCCAACTATTTCTTCACTACTGCCTGGTACACAATTATTTTAAGGTGTTAACACACACACACACACACACGCACACAGAACCCACACACACACGCATTCCAAGTACCTTTTACCTTTTCCTCAGATAGCCTAGGTTAAAAGGGTAGTGTGGTACATGAGAAAAATGACACACTCTGAATCTAGACATCAGGTCTTTCTTTATTGAGAGAGAGTCTCACTATGTAGTTCAGGTTGGCCCTGAACTCACTATGTAAATCAGCTGGCCTCAAACTTGAGGCAATCCTCCTGCCTCAGCCTCCTGAGTGCTGGGATTACAGGCATGTGTCACCACTCCTGGTTAGACGTCAGGTCTTGAGTTTTGAGTCATTCATCTAACTAGGTGACCTGGAAAAACTCTTTCCTTCTGAGATCCCATTTCCTTCTCTAGGTGTTTCTTATGCCTAATCCTCTGGCTAAATGTAGCTTAAAGTGTAACTTTTCTTGCATTCAAAAACACGGGAAAAAGTTTATGAACTAGTACTGGTAACTCCTAAAACTTACCTCCTCTGAAAGAAATCTCCCTGGAAACTATAGTTGGGGATCACTGGGATGAACGGAACAGAATTCACACAAGTTAATTAAATAGGCTGTTTAAGCCTGCTAAAGTCCTGTCAAAGTCAAATATTCTCAAAGATACTCTGCATTCCAGCTTCTCCAAAAAGAGTTCATTCCTTCCCAAAGTAGTCTCATTCATTGTCAGAACAGCTCAAGGTTTTCAATATCAAACATTGAATACTAAGCTCAAGACACACACACACACACACACACACACACACACACACACACACTACCTGCCATCGTTGTTCCTGGAGTGCTAAGTGCCTGTGGGATATGAGGATAACCAGGGGGCGGCATCACTGAAGGAGGGAGATTTTGCCTGGAGTCTATGTACAAATTTCCTAATCAGATTCAAAAGCAGAAAAAGAGGAAATATGTTACCATAAGTAAAATAAATCAAGCATTAAAATCTTTTTTTTTGCGGGGAGGACCAGGGATTGAACTCAGGTCCTTTTGCTTGCAAGGCAGGTAGCAGAACTACTGAGCTAAATCCCTGGCCCTCAAGCATTAAAATCTTTTTTTTTTTTAATTGAGTTTATTGGTACATTTTAGGTATACAGCACAATTACATTCATTATTGGGATCTTGTACCTTTACATGATAGGTCTTGGTTCTCATTTTTTCCCCTTGTCCCTGCCTTCCCTTCACCCCCTCCTCACCTCCCCATTTACAAACACTTTATTTCCATTTTTTCATTTTCTCATATTTTTTTTCTTTTCCCTTATTACCTTTCCCCTACCCTTCCCACTTTCCCTAGTAGAACTGTTGCCTAAATCTAAACTACAGGGGTAAAGGAAGGAGGGAGAAGGAAGGAAAAAAAATCACTCTTTTTAGATGCTAAATGCCTGCCAAAAGGTGGGACAGGCCTTTTGAACAGAGTACCAAGGCTGGGTGCTGAGTATACTGCTACTAATTCCTGTACTATCCTAACTCTGTAAGTTATATCCACTGCTGCTGTCACACACCTTATTACAATACGGTTCAAAAGTATTTTCATATCCATTACTTCATCTGACCCACCCCATTAAGCCCACAAGAGGGGCAAGGAGTTGTTATCCTTATTATACAGATGAAGCAACTGAAGCTCAGAATGGCTGACCTGACTTGCTCAAAGATTCATGAATTTGATAGGCTAGGACTAGAATCCAGATCTCCTAACTCAGTGGTAATGAACCTATGGTATGCATGCCATAGCAGGCTGTTTTTATCACTGAAAGCTTTAAAAAGTTCACCTTCACTGTCCTAACTCATGAGCTCTTTCTACTAATGCCTATTTCTCTACTGCTCTAATTTTTGTGCCCTAGAAGCAACCCAATTATGTGTGCCTTACTTAATTAACCAAGCAAAGAGCAGACACAGAGTAACAGTAAAGATCTGCATATGGCAAAGTGCTACACCAAGCAAAGGTGATTAAAATTGTGTTATTTATGGAGTGTGTAGATGGGAAAACATAGATCTTATTCAATGTGGTTCAGAAGGTTCTTAATGTACTTTCATTGACAGAAGCCATCAAGTATAATAGCTCCAAAATGTCAATTACATTGTATCATAATACAATTACAATGTCAATTACATTATAATGTCAATTACATTGCATCATAATGAACAACTCATGACACCTCCTCTCATAACCCATAGAAGGGCCATAAAGAGGAAGGGCCATCATTTGAAACACCTGGTTAAAACCATAAAACTGGTTCACATTGTAAGCAATCTCTAGAATTTTGGAAAGCTACTTCCCTAAGAGTTTTTATATTTCACACGAATATTTAAATTTGAATTCTAGGGACACTGAAGTGAAACAACAACAAAACAATCATTATCCAATAAAAAATAAAAAAGGGAAGAAAAATATTTTTTTTATTGTAAGGCACACTGACTTTCACTTCTCACAAATGTTCACCTATCACTGGAAAACTAGACCTGTGTCCAGGCTTAAGATGGATTCCAAGACATCCTAATCTGACCCTACATCTGTTCATGTAGCTGCGGAAACAGAGCCAGAGAGGAAGTGATACAGAACTAGAAACAGAATCCCAAACTTCTGATCCCAGTCACTGCCTCCCAAGGCAACATGCCTTTATAATATAGCTTAGAGTCAGAACTGAGTTCTTTGATTGACTATACTGGATGACTTAGGAGAAAAAGGAGAAAAGTTAATTAAGCTACAGCTCTAATATTCTTGGGAAGAGGGGTATCTTTCCCCAAGCGTAGATCAGATGCATGCCTAGTATACTTTCCAAAAACGACCCTGGCTAGGAAGGCCAAACCATTCTGAGTAATGGGGTCATCATTTACAACAGCAAGATACAGTTTTCTTCAGCCATCAAAATTTCCATTAGCCCATTTCACATTATGGTAATGATTTGCCTATGTAACAAAAAATGACATTTTAGAGCCCAGAATAAGGTCAACTTCCTACTCTGTCTTACAAAATCTTAGCTCTCTTTCTACACATCCTTAAGAGTTCAAATCACAACCAAAAGACAAAACTGATTTAAATTTTTTTTCATTTCTTTTTATTGGCTTTTCACATAAAATTGCCAAGACTTCTCATTTTTTCCATGTTCTCATTATAGAGCCCAATGAGAACTTGCCATTATATCTACTCAAGTGAACTTTAAACTTTAATTTTAACATTCTCAGATGATATAACACATTTTCACCAATTTATAACTTTAAATTTATATAACTTTATAACAGTGTTCTTATAAGTATCTTTAATGTATTTGTTGATAACAATGCAAAGTTAAAGATCACAAAGGAAAGTTGATTGAAGTAATAAATCATACAGATGACAACAGAAAGCCTTTTATCTCAATTTTTCTGAGACATATAAATTTGCTATCATTTATTTCTTTCAAATAAAAAAAATGGATCACTGTCAGCATTATCAACATACCAAATTGCATAAAATAATTAATGAATTTCATATAAATAAGAAAGAAAAACAAGACACCTAAGCCCATACCTGTTCCAATGTGTTGGGAAGGTTTTGTTGGATGCATGGCACCATGACAAACATTTTGCTGAACATTACTCTGCGAGTGGATAAGGCCAGTTTGTGTAAAGAACTGATTAAGGGAAGAACAGAGGTCAGCAAACTGAACCTGATCTAAAGACCAGTTCTTAAGATCTGCTTGTCTCATACTCTCCATCAGACCTGAGGAAAACATTTGAAATACAGTTAGTATAGTTCTGCAATTATTCTAAGAAAACATTTGAAATACAGTTAGTATAGTTCTGCAATTATTCTAAGAAAAATAGCAAGGTATGATTTTTTTTCCAGCCATCAAAATTTCCACTGGTCCATTTCATATTATGGTAATGTTTTCTCTATACAACAATAACAACAACAACAAAAATGGCATTTTAAGCCCAATACTTACAAATACGGCCAAATTTCTTTTAGAACTCTTGTCTGTGACCTTCTGCTACATCAACTGGCCAAAATATTTTATTATGAATTTTACAGTGTACTTTTTAAGCTACCAATTGTAGAAGAAACACCTTTGTATAGGGAAATGTTTGTTCTACTACAAAGAAACTTAGAATCTTTTAAATATAAAAGGATAGTATATTTAGTTACAGGTTCAAAAGAACCAACACCCACCTTGGAACTGGGAAAGATCTACATCTGACCAATTAACACTGCTGGCAATTCTACAGCTTTCTTTTAGCATATCAAGTGTGGCATACCAGTCATTTGAAACACCTGTAAGATAATATTGACAATATTTTAATTCTTAGATACTAAAAGTTTAAAGAACTTTTTAAGGGAAGACAATAAGCTGGCATTATTCCTTTCTCTGGCTGATCCCTGTCATCTTAGAAAGGAACTTGTACCCTTTACATCAGGTGTGGTGACAACCTGCTCTTTGAGACCAGCAGAATGGATGTTATTTCTCTACATTTCAGAAATAAAAGACCTGAACCCAGAAGTGGCATAGTTTAAAAAGGACCCCAAGATGAATCTAAGACTTCAACAGAGGTCAAGTCTGTAGCCTACAAATTGCAGTCTACAAGAGGTCTAGTCTGCAGCCTACAAAATACCACCTTATAATTTAAAACTTGGTATTGTTCTTTTCCTTTGTACAGTACAAATAAATGACTAGACAGGAAAATTCATACAAATTAGTATTTTCCTATTTAAAATTTCATTGTTCTTTTTTATTATGACTTTAAAAGGTATGCTCCTCCTTACTTACAAAGGAAACAACATGCAATTTGTTGCATTTAGGAGCAACACATAATAAAATACAATACATTGACTTAAGGGACGTAGATCAGATCTTATAGAAAGAGTGGATCCTTCTTACAAGGCAACTTAGGAGAAAGAAATGGCTTAATATAGTCCTTTTGACAAAGTAGTGAGAGGACTGAAAATTCTGTGGGAAATTCTGGTGAATCTTGGTCAGGACACTTCTAGACAGGAATAGTATCTCCTAATCTGATGGTATTAGAAGAATTTAAGACTCCACATTCTGTACATCAACCAAGTGGTCACCAGTCAGGGGCCATGAGGCAAGAATTACCTTCTGTGAGATGGTGCAGAATAGAGGAAAAAACTCATCCTTCCAGCGACCACTGCCAAGTTATCCTGCTAATGTTCGATCACTCTGGGATGGAAAACTAATAAAAAGGACTTTTTTTTTGCTACATCATAAGACAACTCTTGGTTAAGTCCACTAATGACTACTCAACTTACAAAGTTTTGCCAATTAGGATTTTTAAAAATTATGAGCCAGTGCCAGAAATAAGACTAATATCCCATATGAGTCATAAACATTCAAATCTATGAGGCTCAGATCCTCTAATCTGGGACAGCTTCATAGAGAAGGAAACCAAGTTCAAAGAAATTATATAATTTTAAAAAGTCAGATAATAAAACAGCCAACGCAGTACTGAGTCCAGATTTTTTTAGGTAAACACAACACAGTCAAAAAGCCAGGGTAACACAAAGGCTCACTGAAAGAAAATTATCCCAAGGAACTAGGGCACCCTTGCCAAACTAATTTTTTCCTTGGGGGTGGTAGGAGGAGGACACTTAATGCATGCTGTCTTGGTAAGCCATAACAAAGCAACCTCTGCAGAGTGAGGAGGTGTGGCAAACCGTACTCACTCAATAAACCTGCCCACTTAGTCTGCGGATTAGCCTTTCAGAATATCTAGCATTACAGGCTTCAAAGTCAGATGAGACTATAAAAGCCAGTTTGACCATTTATCAGTAGTGTGATCTTGAACAAACTGCTTGATTTCTCTGAGTTACATTTTTTTCCTATCTATAAAATGCAGTAATTTATGCTTGATTTGGGAGGACAATATGAGATAATATACCTAAATTGCCTAGCACATAATGGACCCTCAACTTTCATACTTTCTGTTTTAACAACCTGCTCAGTCCCATCTCACAAATGTGAAGTATAAAATTCACAGGGATAAATTATCATCACAGCTGTAGACGTAATGAAATGGTAGGCATGACCAGAGCACTATGGTTTTTCTACTGATACCCCACCGCTACTCAACAGCCTATCCCCCAAATCAGAGTAGTAATAGTCTTAAATTTCTGAAGAACATACTAGTGTTTAAAGGTAGACAATAGTAACTGACACAAAGAGTTTAAACTGTTGACTAAGTTTAAAGGTATACTGCTATGCATTTTTGTGTCATATTTCATTTAATTCTCCTCCAAAAACATATTAGTTTTTCGTTTTTTAAATAAAGACACCATTTCAGGAAAATTTAAGATTTATAGCAAAATCACGGTATTAAACCTCATACATCATCTAAGCTCATGACAATAGTCAAAGTGCCCAAAACAATAATTTTTTAATTTATGAATGAGATGCAACATTGCCTAGGATTTAGAAATCTTTCCTACAGGATTAAAAATCTCATGAGTGATATGGGTGATAAGTAGTCATCCAGGCAAGCTGAGAAAAGGACCTATACACTGCATAACTCTAAGGGGCCCCACTCAACTCACCCTGCAGTCCATATGCACAGTCAAAGACTGCCTGGCTTATGAGAAGTGCCAGAAACCATGATAATATATCTTGAGAGCAATATACATTTTTAAAAGCAGGATATAAAGAACATTTCTTCCTTTGCAATCTATTATTCTATTAGATACTTGGCAGGAAAAGCAGAAAAGAGGGGAAACATTCATGAATACTTAAATGAAAATATATTGGTCTAGACATTTCATATTTGTATTCTCAACATCACCTTCTTAACAATACTGCATTCTACTCTACTTTTAGAGATGAGAAAATAACAAGGCTACAAAAAGTAACTTGCCAGCTGGGTGTGGTGGCACACACCTGTAATCCCAGCACTTGGGAGGCTGAGGCAGGAGGATCACTGCAAGTTCGAGACCAGTCTGGGCTACACAGTTCCAGAGCAGTCTCAACTACATAGAGAGACCCTGTCTCAAAAAAAAAAAAAAAAGTAACTTGCCAAGAGCCATAATGAGGATTCAAATACAGGTTTTTCTGGCATAAACCTACTCTCTTTCTTTAAAAGCAGAAGGCATCACAAGCTTATACACAGAATGTGCATTCCATTCTTGTTAGTTTGTTTGTTTGGTTTTTTTGAGACAGGGTCTCGCTATGTAGTTGAGACCGACCTGGAACTCACTATGTAGCCCAGGCTGGTCTCGAATTCACAGTGATCCTTCTGCCTCAGCCTCCCGAGTGCTGGGATTACAGGCCTGCGCCACCACACCCGGCTCTGCATTCCATTCTTTCAAATGTTCACTGGAAGCAATGGCCATAAGGACAAAATGTTAAGAGCTAAAACCAAGACCTGCAAGGATTGTTGAGTTTGCCTATATTGCCACAATAAATTTAAGTCAAGAAAAACTCTAGATGAACCTATGGATTGAGTTACAACTATAGGTTTATAGAAAGAAAACAGAAGACAGGTGAAAAAAGTACTGCTAGTACATGTCACATCAGGCCCAAATAACAAAGGAAAAATTTTAGCTTACTCTTGGCCAAACATAAGCCAGGAGATGAAAACTTACCAGAATTACAGGATACCTGCTGTGGAGGTGGGGGTGCCTGGTGTGTCAACGTCTGATGCTGATGGTTCGGGTGGTGCTGTATGTGTTGATGTGGAGAGGGGTGCTGCGGGGGAGGTGACTGGAGCTGGCTGTGTTGCTGTGGGTGTGGGGCTGGGTGCTGAGGACGCTGTGGATGTGGTGGCAAACCATGTGGTCGGTGGGGTGCATGTGGGGATGGCTGTGTGTGCAACTGAGCATGGGACAGAGAGACTTGTGGGACCGAATTATTGCCTGTAGTATTGAGGCCACTACCATGACTGTTGGATAGGTTGCTTTGGTTGCTGTGTGGATGTGAGCTCACTGTACTGCCAGGAGAGTGCTGGTAGGAACATGAAGTATGGGACTGCTGGGAAGATTCAGAAGGGATGTTCATCAAACCTAAAAACAGGGAGTGCAAGATCACCAGTGGCCAAATTTTGGTATTATACAAAAACATTTGCAAAGATTATTTACAGAGCAGTGAATAGTCTATAGTGGAATACACACTTAACAAGACTATGTCCAACAATGTAAGTACTAAAGAAAAAGTATATAAAGGATTGAAGAAATTTTGCTCCTTGTATGCTTAGCAAGGAAGTAGGAGTCTGAAGATACAGAGAAGACTTCCTCGAAGTATATCCAAGTTGAGACTTGAAAGTTGAACAAATATTAGGAAAAAAGTGAAAAAGGTGTTTGGTTATACTCACAATGGTTTTGGGCAGATATTAAACCCAATATATATATCTTTTGGTACCAGAGATCAAACTCAGGACCTTACACTTGCCAGGCAGGTGCTGTGCCACAGAGCTAAATCCCTGGCCCAAGCCCAAATTTTTGACTAAAGATAAAACCCAGTTACTACTACTTTCTTGCCTCTGACCACTCCAAAAACTTTAAGCCCAACGTGGTTTGAATCCTTAAGACTAAGCAAAACAAAACAAAATGGCCATCTCCACTATTCTTCATTACTTTTACAAAACTTTTTTTTTGATGCAGTACTGGTGATTGTATCCACAGCCTCCACACTGAGTTATAACCTCAGCCTCATTTTGGTTTTTATTTTGAGACAAGGTCTCACTAAATCATTAAATTTCCCAGGCTGTGATTTAATTAGTTTCCTCCTGCCTCTGCCTCCCAGAGTTCTGGGATTATAGGCATGTGAAACCACACCTAGTTTATGGAACATTCTTGAAACACACAGAGTTTAGGGGTTAAAAGTGCATGCTTTATAGGACCACAAAGGGGATTAAAGCTTCCTACTGCCACTTACAATACTAACTTTGCAAAGTTAATTTCTCTGACCCACAACTGTCTCACTTGTAGATGAGAACGATGACAGTACTCTGTTCCATAGAGTTATGAAGACTAAACACCACAGGACAAGTGCAAGAAGAACTCAGTAAAGGTTAGCCGTTTAGTCCAGAAGTGCCTAATGTTAATACCTGGTTCTATATATATAACTAAACTATTTTTATAGCCCAAAGAAGGGTCCATACAATCTTTGTGGTATCAAACATGAAAAATTTTATTAAATCAAAGAAAAATTCCACAAGATAGTATCGAAGAATCAAACTTTTTAACCTAGATGAAATTGTCCTCGTATTTATCCTTAATAGTAAAATTGCACTTGAGCAAGATAACCTAACAAGTTTTAGAGATGGACGAGCTTTTAAGAGTACCTGAGTGGAGGTACAGCTCAGTGGAGAGTAATACCCTATCATGCATGAGACTGCACTGATCCCTAGTGCTACATCACAAAAAAAGGGGGAAAAAGTTCTTGCACTGGATTAGGAAAACTCATTTATAGAAAATGGGATTATTAGAGTAAGATAAAAGAAAGCAATAATTTCATTATCTATTTCCTGTAAAATTGTAACAGTGAGCCAGGCACCACAGTACACATCTTGGGTTGCCAAGGCAGAAGGATTACAAGCTCAGTGCCAGTCTGGACGACACAGAGAGACCCTATCTCAAAAACCAAACCAAACCAAAGCCCTAGCATTTTATGAGGGAAATGAAACCGATGGGTAGCCTACACCAACATTTTCAATCTGAAATTGAAATGCGGTGCTAAACTTTTTTTTTAATAAAATCAAACAAAGCAAAAAAATTTTCCAGAAGCTTAATACATAAAAAGGATAAAACTGCTGTTTTGAAATGAGGGAAGAAGCCTGCTGTATCTCATCAGTACATTCTTCCTTCTTCAACCTCTGAGACCCTTGCAAAAGCCAAGGACTCTGGAGGGGACAAATAGAAAACCAATGATCTAGTCAAGTGCTCTTTATTTTACAAATAAGGACACTGAGTCCCAGAGAGGCAAAGTTAAAGAACCTGAAGGAGAACCCAGAATTATTATCAATGTTCTTTTTATGTGTGATAAAATGTAATTAAAGGCTTCAGAAATTGTTACCACTGTTTTTTTAAAGCCAATAATTTCCGTTATGGTCACAAAGGTTGGGGCTGCTTACAAAAGTCTTTTTTTTTCCTTAGTTTGGCAGTGCTGGAGAGTCAACCCAGGGGTCCAGTCACACTAGGCACACTACCACTGAACTACATGCCTAGCCCCATTCTTTTTATCTATTCATGGATAAAAAGTTTATGAAAAAATCATATAAATAACTTCAAAACCAGAAAACCAGAAAAAGCCACTTCATGTACAACCTATCATTATTCAAATGTAAACTAGTACACAATGCTCACTTTCCTTAGCTGAAAGTGATAAGAATTAAAATATAAACAGTAAAATGATATGAATTTTTGTCTATTTTATTCACTGCTATGAAAAGACAAACTTAGACTGTGTGGGCTGAATGTGTGCTTCCCTCAAAATTCATGTTAGAACTTAACCCCAAAATGACAGATGGTAGTAAGAGGTGGGCCTTGCCAGGTATGGTAGTGCACACCTGTAATCCTAGCTACTCAGGAGGCTGAGGCATAAGGATTATAAGTTTGAAGCTAGCAGGGCAACTCAGCAAGATCCTTTTTCAAAGTAAAACAAAAAGAGCTGGGGATATAGCCGAGTACTAAAGTGCTTGCCCTAGAATGAAAGAAGCCCTGGATTTAATTCCTAAAAAAAAAGTGGTGGTAGTGGTGGGGTTGGCTTTAGGATGTGATTAACGATTAGTGCCCTTATAAAAGGGATCAAGGGAATTAGCTAGTTCTTTGCCCTTCCATCTCTACTGCTTTATAAAGATGCAGCATTCAGCAGCATTTGATAACATAGCTGAAGGTGCCATCTATGAGAACAGTCCCTCAACTAAACACTGTATGTGATACTGCCTGTATCTTGAATTTCCCATCCTCCAGAAATAAATTTCTGTTGTTTACAAATTACCCAGTCTCAGGTTATTTTGTAACAGCAATAGGCAAGGAATGAGACAAGGGGTATAAATAGTCAATCTGATAAACAATTAACTAGGAAATCCTTCAATGATAGAATTTCCAATAATTTCTGGCTCTTATTCTGTGAAAGAAAGGCAAGGATCCAATCTCATGTCTGACTAAAATTAAACTAGTAGCTAATGAAGGCTGGGGATTTGGCTTAGCGTTCCTCCACCTGCCTTGAAAGGGCAAGGGACCGAGTCCTGGGTAACCAAAAAAAAAAAAAAACCACCAAAAAACAACAACAAACCAGAAACTAGTAACTGAGACAAAAACACATTATACCAATAATCTAGTATTTGGCTGAGAATACTGCATTTCAACTAAAACCATCTGTAGGATTAAAATCTCATTTATGTAGTTGTGTAAAATAACCAGAGCTTACCACTAGCCAAGATGTGCACTTATATGTGCCATATACAAAATCACAAACTTGGTGCTACGATATCTCAATGGCTATCTCTTTGCTAATACAAACCATAGCAAAAAAAGCAGGACCATCTATTCTTATAGAGAAACATTCACCACTCACTTTACCTGCCAAATATCACTAATCAATCATGACATTCTTTCTCACGTGGCACAGCAGTAGCAGAATTCCTCAACACAGTGCTCCTGGAATGCTAGTAACATGTAAAGTAGGCATGCAAGAGGAAATGTGAATCCACCATTCCTGTGCTACAATATATACATATACAGAGCATAGCAAATCCATAAAGCACATAATTATCCAATTTTGATCAGGATAGCAATCTTCTAAAATTAAGGAAGTATAATAGCTCCTGTGTAAAAATTATTAAGTAAATATTTTCAATAAAAATTTGTTTCAAAAAAGATTTTTAAAAACTTACCTTGTTGACTAAGTGACTGCTCAAAAACTGACTTATAAAGGCTCCGAAATGAGGCACTAAGATCTTCAAAATTATATTCTGAGAATAGTAGTTGTTTGTCTCGTTCTGGAAGGTTGTACTGTGGCTGCTGTTGGGGAGTTAATGATTGAGAGACTGGTTCTGGATGGTTTGTCACCTAACAAAAGAAAATACAAGTAATTCAGTAGCTCTGTATCACAACTGGTTTGTTACATGATGTATGTAACTGAAATCATGTAAGTGCCAACACTGGAATCCCAAAAACCCTATCTTTGAGTACCTGCTATTTGGGTACATCTTTATAAATACAGAAAGCAAACTTATTAACATGGATCCTGAGGAATCATAGAAATGTAATCTAACACCTGTATATACTAAAGAGGGAAAAGAGTTCAAAGAAGCTACATGACTCACCCAAAATTCATACAAATAAGTATAGACTGGAATCATCCCACTTTCTACAGAAAAATTCATCTTGGTTTCTAGAGAAACAGTTTCACCTCAAACTCCAATAATAATATGAAGCTACTAACATTTCTTTCATTTATTTATTTTTTGAATTAATTTATTTATTTGTTTTTTTTGGGGGGACAGGGTCTCTCTCACTGTGTAGTTGAGAATGACCTGGAACTCACTATGTAGCCCAAGCTGGTCTCCAACTCACCGAGATCCTCCTGCCTCAGCCTCCCAAATGCTGGCTGGGATTACAGGCGTGCACTACCAAGCCCAGCTGACTTTTGCTGTTTCTAACAGCAATCTGCTTTGTTTAGTTCAAAAGTAACAGACACTGGAGGCAATGACTATGAAGTGGGACATCTGGCCTCATCCCTAACCTTGAACACCCCTTTCCTGTGCACTAAAATGGATAGCTAGACAAATCTTGAAGTAAACTCCCTAACTACAAGGAATTGTTATATCTGGGTTAAAGTTAACTGTCTGGTTACTGTAATTTGTACATGGGTAATGTGAACTGAGGAAATGAAATGTAACCACCTGAATGAGATCATAGTTGTAAAACCTATATAAGGGAAACTGCAACCCAATAGGAGGTCAATCACTGGCATTGCCTTTTTGAATGTGATCGACCCTGTGCTGGCAAAACAAACTTTTTATTTTATTTCCATTCAGCTCGTCTCTATGTGCATGTCACTTGCCAATTCTTTCCACAACAATTTAATCTTTACATAAGCTTAAATACTGTGAGTGCTGTGAGCAAATACATGACATTGTCCAAAGCAGCAAGGAGCTTTTAAATACGCCTAATTCTAGAGGAATTTTTAAAAATCATGAATAATGAGAAGGATAGGGAAGGGGGAATAAGGGAAAAGGAAAAAAATATGAGAAAATGTAAAAATGGAATTAAAGTGTTTAAAGGAGGGGAGGGGAGGGAAGAGTGAAGGGAGGGTGAGGCCAAGGGGAAAAAGTGAGAACCAAGACCTGGCATGTAAAGGTACAAGACCCAGTAATGAATGTAACTGTACTGTCTACCTACAATGTACCAATAAATTAAATTTAAAAATAATAATAATAATAAAAATTAAAATCATGAATAAAATTGAAGGAAAATGAAAAGCGAAGAGTTAAAAAACAAAGGATGAACTGAGTGTAGAGCTCTTCCCTGGCATGCACAAAGCCCTGGATTTGATCCCTAGATCATCCTACCCCTAAATAAAACAAACAGTAACAACAAAACATCTAAAGAAGATCATGAGGAAAAAAGAAGAGTTCAGGGCCTTGGGTTAAGAAGGGGAAAGCAAACACCATCAACAGCTTAAAAAAAAAAAGAATTATGTAAGAGGCAATACAACCAGAAATAAAATTAGTAAAAGACGATCAACTGTATTTCTTAAAATATTATATCAAAAAGTGGTAAACTACAGCTTAGTATTTTGAAAATTAAAGCCTGAAAAATTAAGGTCTGAACATTCACTGAAAATTTACATAGCTTTCAAAATGATATTCATAAGGAATCTGTAATAACATGGAAAAATATTAATTTTATGGCTTCCTCTGGCCCTCTGTGGACCTCACATGTCACCACACAGACTAGGTAGGTAGGGCTTCATGGCAAGAGGGTGTAAACCTTAGTGGAAAGCCTTGTGGTTAAACTGGAATATGAGATGACAAGTGGTCTTCTAAAGAACAAAGTCTCATCTGTCCTATTTTGTGTAAGGCACCCACCCATGCAGCAGTTTTTATACACCTTTCTCATCTGTCTTTTTGGTTCAGTGAGGCATGGAACTTTTTATGCCTTGCACTCAGAAAGTGAATAGCTCGTCACACTAATGCTTAACTGCAGTATGGAATCTGTTCCTCCACTACAGAGTGATTCACTACTTGCATAGTTTATCATTTGTGGTTTGGTATTGTGTATGATCCAGGAAACTGACAACATGTTAATCTGGCTTATTCTGTACTTGCGTATCACTTATTTAGACTTACACATTTATACGCTTACAAGTCTTACACAGACATTAAATTTAGTCTACATAAGTAAACTGTCTTATTCCATGTGGACTCACTGTCTTTGCAGGCTCAATCTATAGGACACATGACAAATCAGCAGCAGCTACTGCACTCTTGACTAAGGACTACTTGACACCTTGTTGTTAAATGAAAATAGCAATTTACAGTGTCTAGCTCTCAAATGGGAAGTATAACCCACTTACACTGACTGGCACAACAGGCACAGCAGTTCCTACTTAGTTCTATAAATGCTTCTTTAACTTTGCCTTGTGATACTGGACTCACTGTCCTATGATTTCTATTGGCCTCAAAATTTTTTCACTTAAATTATTTTTTAAAACAACTTAAAATCTTTAATTTTTGCTGTTTGCTTCAATGCTCCAATAATTCTTTTTGTATCTTGACTTCATCATTACTGAATATTTAATTCACCTCTTGAGCAACTAAATATAGTAGATCCTCTGCATTCATGGGTTTCACATCCATGGATTTAACCAACCACAAACAAAATATTCAGGGGGGGAAATCCTGCATCTGTACTGAACAGATACCAACTTTTCCCCCTTATCATTATTCAATAATAAACAATATAGCATAACAACTATCCCATCATATCTACGCTGTCTTACATATAAGTAATCTAGAGATGACTTAAAGTATATGAAGGATAAGAGTAGGTTATATACAAATACTATGCCATTTTGTATAAAAAGACTTGAGTATCCTTTAATTTCCTTATTTATTAGAGGTCCTAAAACCAATCCTCCACTGAAGGATGACTGTAATTTTCAGGAAGGACACACGAAAACAAGGGCAGAACACTTCTGCATATCAAAGAAAAATTTTCACTGTGCCTTCATCTATGAATGAAAATTTGCCTAGGTTTAATATTTGCTATTCTAAACCTAGTCCTTTCATCTTTTCACATTTAGCATTACTAAAGAGAAGCCTGATTGTGCTTTTTTATATTTAACATTTCTTCTGCCAGATATTTATAAGGGAGATTATTTAAGAAATTTTAAAATTTGCTGTAGCTGAATGTCTAAATATAAGTTTATTTCCCATTAATTTTTCCTAGGATTCAATAACCTCATTAACCTGTTTCTTCTGAAATCTGCATCTCTATCAATTTTTCTCATTTCTTCTGAAGAGATATTTATTAATTCTCAATTCTCCATATTTATTGTGTCCTTTTACACAATTTTAATTGATTCCTCTGTATTCTGAGAGAATAATTTTTTTCCAGAGCACTAATACGTTTTGCTGAATCGATTTTCTTCTTTCCTACATTCAATGTGAACTTTAATTCTGCTGTCTTAATTTTTGTTTCCCTTGTTATTTTCTTATCACATGTAGCTCCCTTTGTATTTTTGTCCTGTGAGTTGTTTTGGGGTTTGTTTTTGTTAGCTTGTTTGATTTTCCTCCCTAATTTACTCATCCTGGAACAGGAAGTGATCTGATGAGATCAAACTTACAATGATGAACAAGTGTGTGTTGTTGGGCTCTGTTCTCTGCCAGTGGTTAAGAACAGTAACCAGATGGCTTGAAAATAAATTATCGGATAACTCAAGTGTTGTGCCCTTGTAATAGGTAACAAGTCATATAAAGACAAGAACATTTACACAGGTCATTTTTTGGCATGGCTATGAATCTCTTTCTCAGATCTATAGCTAGAAGGCAAATTAGTACACACACCTTCTAAAGCCTTTTTCCCAAGACAGAGTATCATTAATTATGTCTGCACTAGAATTAAGCCCATTTTTCCTACTATAATTGAATTTACATAGATGCAGAATAAAGTACAACAAAATATGTAACACAAAAATGTAATTTATACTAATGTAAAATACAAATATCAAATTAAAATACTATCAAGGTAGGAAAAAGAAAAAAATATGAGAAAATGGAAATAAAGTGTTTGTAAATGGGGAGGGGAGAAGAGGGTGAAGGGGGGGCACGGACAAGGGGGAAAAAATGAGAACCAAGACCTATCATGTAAAGGTACACAATCCCAATAATGAACATAATTGTACTGTATACCTTAAGGTACCAATAAACTCAATAAAAGGGGAAAAAATACTATCAAGGTAGAAGTTTGTTACTAAAAAATTGATTAGTGAGAAATACATTACCTTCATTTTAAAATTTAGATTTCAATTATGTTTGCTTTAGTTTTAAGCAGTAAATGAATAACCAACAAAAAAGCTAACTTCACTAAGACTTACCGGTGTGTAACTATGCACACTTCCAACACTGTTCAAATTAACAGATGCCAAACTCTGGTCTGAGAGACTGTTGTTAAGGCTACTGCGTGGGCTGTCACTACCATCCTGATCGGTATTGTACAATGTTACCTAGAATGAAAAAGAAGTAAAAACTAAATATGTACTTCCTACAATAACAAATACTGTAAAAACAACCCTACAAAAACAAAGCTGAGTATATAGGAAAACATCAGTGGTCCTTCCTTCAGCATTTATCCCTATTCTATGTCCTCACTGCCTACTCCATGTTCAACATGATATAATTTTCTCAGTACTCTCAAACTAAAGGAAATGCCTACGTGGAAATATATAAATTCAATTTATTGGATACAGTTAATATTTAGAGACTACAGATTTTTACTGCTAAATATAATGCATTTATTTAAGTTTTAAGGAAAACTACTACTCTATCAAGATCTTAGGTATCACAAGTATATAATAAAAAATAGATTTAAGTAATAGGCATTGGTGTTGTATCTGTATATGAGAATGTAACTATCCAATGCAAAAAGCCATACATACTTGATCTAATTTTTAGAAATAATAGGCTAAATATACACATTAGATGTGAAGGGCTATTATGTCAAACTGTTAACCATGGTTAACTGGCAGAGACTGGGGACTTCTATAGACTTACTTATACCCTTTTCAGGGTGTTTTTTTTTTCTTTTTTTTACAGTGGTTTAATTTGTCTATAATAAGCATTACAAATTTTAATTAGAAACCAAAAAGGTATTTTTAAAACAGAAAACTAACCTTAATTATCTTTCATGGTCTGTTCTGAATTATCTTTCATGGTTCTGTTCAGATACTGTTACTAACTTTCCAATGTTCATACTTTTGTAAGAAGAAATTAACCACTTAATGGATTACCCCAAGCATTATTCGGGTAGCATGTTTGTTTATGTGCTGACTATGCTGAGTGTCAAGCATATCAACCAGCTGAGTCTTACACTGAATAAATTTGATAAAACTGTCATTTTTATTATTTTCTGTTGGATCGGGGATTTAGCTCAATGGTGTCGCTGCCTGCCTCACAAGTGCAAAGACTCAAATTAGATCCCCAATACAAAAAATATATATTTTTAAAAATATATATAAATAACAATATATATATTTTGTTACATTGTCTTACAAAAATTAACAAAAAGATGCAATTTTTGGTCATCCTGTATTTAAATAATTGCTAGTAAGTGGTTAATATTTTTGACTTGGTGGTTTAATGTGTAGCAAATTATTAGACTATTAACCTCAAGTTCCCAATATTCACAAACAACATAATACTCTGTTCAGCGTACAGTTAACAAATATTTGCTGGATTTATTAACCAACTGACCATCATTCTATGTTAAAAACAGGATAGTGATCAATGCTTACTAACATCCGCCAGATGAGGCTAAAAACACAGAAAATCAGGCACATATGTCTCATACTTAGGGCAAAACTAAGCTGATGTGCTAGAAACAGTTGTTTAGGAAATATGTAAGGGAAAAAGTATGAGAAAAAAAACAAGGAATAAAGAAAACTCTGGCAAAGATTTTTTCTGGTAAATATCTCCCGTGTAAGTTTCATAATGATCAGTAGTATAGGTCAGTGATGGTAAACCTTTTAGGGATTTCAGTGATGATAAACAGTCTGCTTCAGCATGCATGCTGTAATTTTGCCAACACTGGTTTTAGGCCCCCTAGGAATAATTTTTTAAACTATAAATTAATATCAACTAATTATAAGCATTCCTGGGTCACTTTCTTGGCCATTCATTCTCTCCTGTCCATGCTCACTTACCTACCACTAAAGCTGGAAATACTCTCCAACACTTAGATAATTCCTCTAAATTTTCTTTAGAGGGAGAATATACATTTTTACTGATGAGTAAAATGCACAAATTATGTTTTTTTATTGCAAAACAGGCATACTCAGGGGTATGGCTAGTGATTACTATACAACCCAGACTAAAGTAAATAAATAACTGAAACAACTCTTAAAATTTAATCTCAGACCCCTTTTCACAGTTTTAAGAATTAAAGCACCCAAGAGCTTTTGTTCTTCTTGAGACATCCATCAATAACTTAGCATGTTAGAAATTAAAAACTCAAAATATCTTTTATTAGTTCTTTTAAAAATAACAATTACAAACTCAATTATATGTTAATACAAAATTATTTTCCCCATAAAACAAATAAAACAGGAAGAGTAGTATTAGTTTTACATTTTTGTAAACCTCAGGGTTTGGCTTAATATAAAACAGGTTCTCAGAGCTGCTTCCACATAAAATCTGTTGCATGTATTGTTTAAGTGGCAGTCAGAAATGAAAGTTGGTAAACGGAGAAATGTTTCAACAGACTTTTCAGAAAACTGTGGGTAGTCGTCTTTGATAATGGGTCAAAACACAACAAATCGCAATTAAAAAAAATTAGTTGTAATGTGCAATCTGAACCATAGTAGTAGTTTTATACTTTGTTCCATTAAAATCTACTGTTCTACTTTGCACTTTAAATGGATTGTTTATCCATGCATAATTTTATAACAGCACACATTTGTCATTTAGAAAACAATGATTTACTAAGTCACACAAATCTTCTAAATGTCGATGTATTTCATCATATAACATCAAAAAATTTACTTGTTAACATTACCCCTAACTCATGAGAGATATCTTTCTAAAGACTGGGAAGATATGAGACTCACGGTAGTGGATATAAATTTCCTGAAATTGTATTTTTTTGCTTAACAGCTCAAATTTTACCACAGGAAAAAGATACTGTCAATGGTTTTCCTTAAAGTGACAGGCTCACTTGTTTAATTTTCAAGAAAACATCTGCCCAATTTCCAAATTAAATAATCATTGTCAGCTGTTCTTTCACATAAAAACAGTGATCCATAAACACAGTAGCTAGTTCAACTTTCAACTCAATCATACAAATGCTTTTCTTTCAAGTAACCACTGCAATTTTGGGCGTAGAAATCACTCTCTTTATGTCCTCCCACAAAATACTAAAAAGACAGGTACTCAAAGGTCACAATTAATTAAACTATTTTTCCTGCTTTACCTAAGTAAAACTTTTTAAAATTAGGATACGTAGCAGTGAAGAATATGATGACTATGATTACAGTTAGATGGTGCTGCCTTGATCGGTGCTAAGATGGTTGCAGGTTGACAACACTGCCCTTGCCACATCAGTGAAAACGCAAATATAAAGGAAAAGACAATGCATGTTATAGCCAGGTGTGGTGGCACATGCCTGTAACCCCAGTGCTAGGGAAGCTGAGGCAGGAGGACTGCTGTGAGTTCGAGACCAGCCTGGGCTACATACTGAGTTCCAGGGCAGACTGAACTACATAGTGAGACCTGTCTCAAAACCCACCCCCCAAAAAATAAATAAATAATGAATGTTATTATGAAAAGTTCTAACTCATAAGACTCTCTACAAAGGTTTCAACTGCCCAGGTGTCCACATACTGGCCGTGCTTTCACACTGCTGACTCACTAAACACCAGCACTCCAGAACCCCTGCTTGTGTACTTCTCAGCTATTATTCAAAGGTAGGTGTTATCCACCCCATCTCCTGTCCTAGGTGATCTCTATATGGACTTCTATCATTGTTGTTTTATTTTTCTATTTCTGAGCTAATTATAAATGGAATCACCCAATATATGGTTTGTTTTCTAAATAAATATCGGCTCTTAATATTCATCATTTTCTTTCCATTTTTAGAAATATTTATTCTTTTGTCTCACTGAGAACTTTACTGCTTTATCATTTATATTTAGGTCTCAGACCAATCATTTACTGAAAGACTTAATTCTGTTCAATGAGTTTATTCTTCTGCCACTATTGCACCATACTTCAATTACATTCTTACTCTTAATATTTGAAAGCACAAATCCTCTTTTTCATTCTCTCTTCCCCCAAGAAACATCTTAATGTGATAAACAATCTTTATCACTTCAAATCTGCAAATCAATGTGGGAAAAGCTGACTTCTTTATACTACTCTTCTATAAGAAAATGTTATCTAATTATATCTTTTTTGTTTTACCTTAGTAATTTTTCATAGTTTTCAGTATAGACTTTATTTTACATTAAATTAAAAGAAATATATACATACACATACACACACACATACACACACACACACATTTTTTTTTTTGAGACAGGGTTTTGCTAAGTATCACCCAGGCAGGGCTCAAATTTGAGATCCTCCTGCCTCAGCTTCCTAAAGTGCTGGGATCACAGGCATGTGCCACCATGTCCAGTTGGCTATTTTATGTTTTTGAATGCTAACACAAATGCTATCTTTTAAACTTTATTTTCTGCCTGTGGCTAGTATAACCAAAACTACAACTGATTAACACTGATTTTCTATCAAGAGACCTTGTTAAACTGATTTTATATAAACTTTGAAAAGCTCTAAAGCTTTACCAGTATAATCTTTTGAGTTTTCTATATAAACATCCATATCAATGAATAATGACTGTAGGATCTGAGTTTCTTATATTATCCATGTATCTATACAACATGTTCAATGTGTTTTTTAGCTTCTCTATAAAATAGTTGTAACTGTTATGCTTTTTTTTTTTTTTTTTGGTACCAGAGATCGAACTCAGGTCCTTGAGCTTGCAAAGCAGGCAGCAGAACCACTGAGCTAAATCCCCAGCCCCTGTAACTGTTATTCTTTACTATACTCATTCTATCACCCATGTGCTTCTGGGTCAGTACTGACTGCTTCTTTTCTCCACATTTGTGAGATTTTTTTTTGTTATGCCTGGTAAATTTTAACTACTACCAAACACAATTTTTACTTTGTACATACCTTATTTCATATTCTATAAATGTTCCTGAGTTTCTCATTTGTTGATTATGCTATTTTATAAGTATTTTCTAATTCACCGACTTCACTTATTTTTTTTACATTCTTTGTTCTTTAGGATTATTTTGCTCTTGATGCTTAAATTGTTACTGCTGGGCGTGGTGGAGCATGCCTGTAATCCCAGCACTCAGGAGGCTGAGGCAGGAGGATCGCTGTGAGTCCTCAGCCAGCATGGACTACATAGTGAATTCCAGGTCAGTCTCAACTACATAGTGAGACCCTGTCCCAAAAAACCCCAAATAAAAAAAAAAAAATTGTTACTATTCATCCTTTGTTTAGTCTGGCTATATATATAATTAAGGCTATGACTTTAACTAGATCTCATAGGCCTTGATGTGTCAATATTTGTGTTTTTCATCAAGGTATGTTCTATTTTCTATTGTGTTTCTTTAATCTATGATTCAGAACTATAATACTTGTACATTTTGGAGGAATTTTCTGATAGTCTTTTGTTATTACTTCTACCTTAATTCCAGCACAATGGATAACGAACTGTGCAATGTCAGTCTTCTGGAATCTGTTGAGACTTCCTTTAGGGTCAAACATATATCAATATATGGTTAATTTTATAACTGTTCAATGTATACAGTGGGGCTGGGAATGCAGCTCAGAGGTAGAGTGCTTGGCTAGCATATGCAAGATCCGAGTTCAATCTTCAGTATCTCAAAAGACAAAAAAAAAGTATATTCTGCAAATATCAGATGCAAATACTACATATAAGTCAATTGGGTCAAGTTTCCTTTTGTGGTTCTAATTTTCTTTATCTTTAAGGAAGTTTTTGCTTGTTGTCTTGAAGTTGGCCTGCTTGTTCTATGAGTTTACAGAAATGTTTAATTCTACCACTGTGATACAGGATTTGTCCATTTCTCTTTCAACCATGTCATCTTTTGAGACTATGAAATTAGATATATAAATTTAGCATTATATTTTTCTATTACTTTTCATAAAGCATCTATTTTAGTAATGTGTTTTCTTTTTCATTTAAGATCTCTTACAAAAAAAAGATCTCTTAGAAGCAACAGTTTTTTTCAATGTCTTTTAAAGAGTATTTTATGTACTTACATTTAAGTCCTAATGTAATTAGATTCAAATACTATTTGCTTTATCTTCATCTCCTCTTTGTTATTTTTCTTTTCCCTTCTTGCTCACTTTTGAATTGGCCAAAGATTTATTAATTTTCCTTACCACATGTATATTCTTTTACTATTTTTTTTTTAAGAAACCAGGAGCAGTGGTTCAAGAGGGGTGGAACTTTATCAAAACTTTATGAAAAATTTTAGAAACTCTGGATGTTATCTTCCTCCAAACAGCATTTGGTTTTCTTCTTGCTAGAAGAGTATTTGTATACTACTGTAAAAGCAGTCAAAGCTCATCAATTTTGGTTTGCTCATACAGAATGAAATCTTTCTCAGGTAACAACTTGAAAACCTAGACTACTTTGCCAGGACTCCTTGAAGACTTGAACTACAATTTTTATCTCTCTTGTTTTGTAAGACTGCTGAACTCTGGCTATTGAAAGATCTATTCTGTCTGTTACCGAGGCAAAACACGGAGTCAGCAAATATCTAAAGTAGTTTACAAAAAACAATTCCTTTCTGAGATTCCTCAGGGTCTTGGCTCAAGGTCCATTTATCTTACAGTCCCAAACTCCAGTGCTGGTCTCTCTAGCTCAGACTGCTCTAGGCTCCGCTGTCTAATCTGTACGCCATACACTAAGAACTGGTAAATGTCTCAAAGAAAAATTTGTAAAGTTTATCTCAATTTGTTTACCTTTCTCAGGGGTCTTGGCCACTGACATCCTAATTTTCTCCCTTTTTTTTAAATCGTGTATGTGGGTGTTATAGAGATATGCAGAAAGATTTGCCTTATGATAGCTATCCCATTATATGTAAAAGAAGTTAGAAAACTCTAGCTCTTTTAACACCATGTTATTTGGTCAGAAAATCCTAGCACTACTTTGTCTTAATTGCTTCCTAACAACCATAACTATTTATGTTTAGTTCCTCAGCTTCTCTTATACTGCAAAGAGCAGTATTAGTGATTTCTGGTTCCAATCCATGTACTTCACCAGAATTTGTTATGTCTAGCTGGTCATCCATCATTAAAGATAATTTCTGGGAGTACAGAATTCTACCCCTATTCAAAGGACAGAGAAACTAATTTGACAGGACTGCATTGGAATCCTAGGATTACCATCACCCACCAACAAAGAAAGATAAACAGCCCCTCTCCCTAAGTGACTATGTGATAGACAGTTCCACAGATGGCCTTGTGGAAAAAAATCATTACTCTATATACCTTATCTGCCAGTTCCTTTTTCTAAACTGGATATGATTGTCACTAAGCAAAAGGAGCCTTTGAGTACTACATTAATGCAATAATATATTTAAGTATGAGGGGCCAAGGTATAGCTCAGTGGCACCTTGCCTGCCTCACAAACACATGGTCGTGAGTTCCATCCCTGGTACGTGTGTGTGTGTGTGTGTGCGTGTGTGTGTGCACGCGCGCACGCACTTGTAATGTGTGCATAAGAATAAAAGATTAAAAACAATGAAATAGTGCTAGTGAGAGCCGGTAAAGAAAAGAGGGTAAAGGCTAAAGAGAGAACATGAGAACAAGATTGAAAGAGCATGAGCAGGAAGATAAGAGATGAATAGCTTTAGAGGGGTCAAGTACAGGAGAAAACAGATGCACAAAACTGAATTTATGAAACTCTCAGACGTTTTTTAGAGTTCTGAGATATGAGATTAAGAAATAACTCTGTAACGAAGAAATACTTGAATCCCTCTAGGTATCTAATCACTGAGCACAAAGTTTTGACTTGTACCATAAGACGTGCTTAACTACCAAATACCGCTTCTGGATATGTTCACAGACTGAAAAAAACATAAAAACAGGTTAACTGTTATGCTAATGAACTCTATTAGACTGCCCAAATTATTTGTTTTTAATAGATTATTCTGGCTCTCTGAAATCTGACAATCTTTTTTCAACCATATATTAAGCAAAGTTCTGAAACAAATTGATTCAACAAAACACTAGCTCAGAAATTCTAGCAATGGGAATAGTCAGAATCAAGATTTTAAATTAATAGTTTCCCAGTAAGCACCTTCTAATTCTCCTGAGAAACATTTTCTAATTTGTACGTACCTCAAAACTGTATAGATTTGACTTAAGCTGTCATGAACAGAGTAAACAGATTTATATCATCTTGAAGCTTGACCATACAGAACTCTGTCACTATAAATGCAAATTAAATATATTACTTAAGGACATTTTAAAAATGTTCAAAAAATGGAATTACTTTGTTAGTCACAGTGTTGATTGCCAGAGTTGGAGAGGCACTTGCCGAAATAATACACTCCATTCCCAAAGAATCTGAATCTATGCTATATGGAGTTGAGGCCTAAAATACAAGAACAAAATAAATAATTATTAACTCATATATCCAACAATTTTAAAACAGTTTCAAGGGATTTCATCAAATTCTCTGACATTTAGTTTTGTGCATTGTTTCTGAAAATACATAGCTACTGGAGCCAGGGACTCAGCTCAGTGATGCTACCGCCTGCCTCGAAAGAACAAGGACCGGAGTTCAATCCCCAGTACAAAAAAAAAAAAAAGAAAAAAAAA